TCAGCTTCTGCCAACCTAGCAGTTAAAAATGCAAGTAGAAAAATAGGGACCACCTTTGGTGGGAAGGTAACAGCGTTCTGTGCGCCTTTGGTGTTGAGTCATGCTGGCCACATGACCACGTAGACGTCTTTGGACAGCGCTGGCTCTTTGGCTTTGAAACGGAGATGAGCACCGCCCCCTAGAGTTGAAAACGACTAGCACATATGTGTGAGGGGAAACCTTTACCTTTTAATCTAGAGAAAAGAAGGACTAGGGCTTACATGATGGCAGTACTCCAGTATTTGAGGGGCTGCCACAAAGAAGAGGGGGTGGGGGTCAACCTATTTTCCAAAGCACTAGAAGGTAAGACAAGAAACAATGGATGGAAACTAATCAAGGAGAGAAGCAACCTGGAATTAAGGAAAAAAATTCCTGGCAGAGAGAACAATTAACCAGTGCAATGGAGTTGTGGATGCTCCATCACTGGAGGCTTTTGAGAAGAGACTGGAGAGCCATTTGTCCAGAATGATATGGGGTCTCCTAGTCCAGGCCCCTGTTGAAGCAGGAGACCCTATAGCTGTGATGGCAAACCTATGATACGTGTAGCCATATTGGTGGGCACGCGAGCTCAGCTCTGGTGCACGCCAGCTGATTTTTAGGCCTTCTGGACCCACCAGAAGTAGGGAAACAGGCTGTTTCCTGCCTCTGGAGGATCTTGGGGGAGGCGCGGGGAGGCCCGTTTTTCTCTCCCCCCAACTTCCTGAGCCTTTCTAGGAGTCTGGGGAGGGCTTAAACGGCCTTCCCCACCCACCCGTGGAACCGGAAGTTTGCAAACGGGCTGTTTTCGGACTCTGGAGGGCCTCTGGGGTGGGGGAGGCCGTTTTCGCCCTCCCCAGACTCCTAGAAAGGCTCTGGAGGCTGGGAACAGCAAAAAAATGATACTACAGTGCCATCATGTCCCAGGACTGGGGGGGGTGGGGGGTCGTGTACACATGTGTGGGGGCAGGGCACAGAGAATTATGGGTGTGGGCACGCAGGCGCGCGACCCCTCAGCTCCTGGCACACGATGGAAAAAAGTTAGCCATCACTGCCCTATAGCATTCCAGACAAATGGCTCTCCAATCTCTTCTTAAAAGCCTCCAGTGATGAAGCACCTATAACTTCTGAAGGCAAGCGGTTCTATTGGTCAATTGTTCTCATTGTCAGGAAATTTCTCCTTAGTTCAAGGGTGTTTCTCTACCTCAGGGGTGTCAAACTGGCGGCCCATGGGCCAGATACGTCACACGCAGGCCACGGCCACCCCAGCTCCGTGAAGGGGGAAAACACCGCAAAACATCATGTGATGGCAACATGACACGGCGAGTTTGACACCCGTCCTCTACCTGATTAGTTACTATCCACTGTTTTCTTGTCCTGTCTTCTGGTGCTTTGGAAAATAGGTTGAGCCTCTCTTCTTTGTAGCAGTCCCTCAAATATTGGAATTTGGAACTTGGTTTAATCAATTTCATTATCGCCGCTAGTCAATTTCATAACACCCGCAAAATCTCTAGCTTGATTCTTTTTTTCTCCCTACATACTTAATGGGCAATTTCCTCCTAGCAGCTTAGGCTCTTTCAAATAAAATCAGTCAGGAGTACTTCAAGTTTGAAACATACTACATGAAACTCAAATACTTTGGCCATCTAATGAGTAGGATACAGAGGTGGGTTTCAGCAGGTTCTGACCAGTTCTGGAGAACCGGTAGCGGAAATTTTGAATAGTTTGGAGAACTGGTAGTAAAAATTTTGACTGGCCCCGCCCCCATCTCTTCTCTGCCTCCCGAGTCCCAGCTGATTGGGAGGAAATGGGGATTTTGCAGTATCCTTCCCCTGCCACGCCCACCAAGCCACACCCACAGAACCCGTAGTAAAAAAATTTGAGACCCACGATTGCAAGGCGATCAAAGCGGTCAGTCCTAGAGGAGATCAACCTGGACTGCTCTTTAGAAGGCCAGATCCTGAAGATGAAACTCAAATACTTTGGCCACCTAATGAAAAGGAAGGACTCACTGGAGAAGAGCCTAATGCTGGGGAAGACTGAGGGCAAAAGAAGAAGGGGACAGCAAAGAACGAGGTGGCTGGATGGAGTCACTGAAGCAGTCGGCGTGAACTTAAATGGACTCCAGGGGATGATAGAGGACAGGAAGGCCTGGAGGAACATTGTCCATGGGGTCGCAATGGGTCGGACACGACTTCACAACTAACAACTACAACATTTGGTAGTTTGGAGAATCTGCAATAGGCAAAGATACATTGAGACATCACACAATATAATAATAAACAAACAATACAGATACCCCTCCACTTACAATCATTCATTTAGTAACTATTTGAAGTTACAATGGCACTGAAAAAAGTCGATTTATGACCGTTTTTCAACTTACAACCTTTGCAGCATCTTCATAGTCACATGATCAAAATTTGGGAGCTTGGCAACTGATTCGTATTTCTGACAATTGCAGTGTCCCAGAGTTATGGGATCACTTTTTGTGACCTCCTGACAAGGAAAACCAACGGCGAAGCCAGATTCACTTAACCACCATGTGGCTAAACTTAACAACTGCAGTGATTCATTTAACAACCGTGGCAAGGAAGGTTGTAAAATAGGGGGAAAGTGACAACAGCTCTTCCTTAGCAGCAGAAAGGTTGGGCTCCATTGGAGTCTTTAGTTGTGGGCTACTGGTATTTATTCGGTCAATGACAAGCGAAACTATCAAGCGAAACTATCTTTATATATATATAAAGAATCAAGGGTGCTGTGATGCCTACCAGAATCCTTTCCCCTCTACAGCAGACAGATAATAATAGAGAATCTGAGAAAACTGGGCCTGTAACACGAAGCCAAGCAGCTAGGAGGAGGAAGCAGGAAGAAAAACTGTTGTCCTCCAATTGGAACACAGAGTTGCAGGCTAGCCAGCATACGTCAGCAGCAGCAAATATAGATAAGCGACAGCTCCGGCCCCGCAACAGAGAACCCATAGCTTCTACATGAAACAGAGCCTGAAGATGACAGGGTTGTGAGCCTGTCGAAACGTTGCTTTAAGAAAAACTTTTAAAGTCACTGGTAGGATTTTAGCTGAGGTTTTAAAGGACCTTGCAGAGTGCTCTGTAAGGATTTTTAGAAGATTTTAAACTGGGATTTTAACCAGGATTTTAAATATTTTAACCAACTTATTTATAACGACACGGGAAAACACCCGAGATTTAATTTTTTTGCATTTTTATACATACATACATACATACCTATCTGCGTCCTTTGAAAAATTGCATAAAAACAGCAGTGCTGCTGTACAATAAACATTACATCTGGAAGAGTTCTGGACAATAGAATAGAATAAAGCAGAGTAGAATAAGAGTAGATACAGGGGTCTCCAACCTTGGCAACTTTATGACTTGTGGACTTCAACTCTCAGCTGGCTGAGGAATTCTGGGAGTTGAAGTCCATAAGTCGTAAAGTTGCCAAGGTTGGAGACCCCTGGAGTAGAATAAGAGTAGAGCAGAGCAGAGCAGAGCAGAACAGAACAAGAACGATTCTTTAGCAAAAACCACAAGAGGGCACTACCATCCAAAATATGACTTTTAGACTAATTAAATCAATTAATCATTATGTTGTTTTTTCAGCCCTGCTGGACTGCATCAGCAAAAGATGTGTCTTGTACATGTGACTTTTTGCAAAAGTTTCTACTACTTTACACTAAGTCCCGACTAGGGGCATTTTCACACCTGTGGTGTTCCTATTTCTAAACATTAACCAAGAAAAGTGAAGCTGGCTCCGATTCTCCTACTTGCACCACGTTGTCTCTAGATTAGTGAGTTGCTGAGCATTGATTAATACTCAGGTGAACAGCCTTAACCGTTCACAGCTACTTAAATCCAAAAAAAATCTTTTGGCACTTAGCCTAGTCTGGATGCAGCCTGATCTAAGGAGATCTCAAAGCGCTTTGCAAGATCCAGGTATCAGAGTAATCTCCACTGGAATAAGTAACTGTTAAGCATCAGCAGTCAGAAACAACAGATAGCAAGACATGTCATGTAGGGGTGATGATGGTGGAGAGTTGATGAGTGGATGGATAGACAGAAGATGGATAGATAGTAGATGGATGGACGGACGGACGGACGGACGGACAGACAGATGATTTTATTTATTTATCAAATTTATTTGTTACCTATCTCACAGTTCATAGATAGATTATAGCAGATAGAGATAATAACATAGATGATAGATAGATATGATAGATGATAGATGGAATTAGATAAAATAGATTAGATAGATAGATATGATCAGTGGTAGGTTTCATCCAGTTCGCACCACTTCGGGAGAACCGGTTGTTAACTTTCTGAGCAGTTTGGTGAACTGGTTGTTGGAAGAAATCAATAGGGCAGAGAACCGGTTGTTAAATTACTTGAATCCCACCACTGGATATGATAGATGATAGATAGCTAGAGTTAGATAAGATAGATAGATTAGATTAGATTAGATTAGATTAGATTAGATAGATAGATAGATAGATAGATAGATAGATAGATATAGATATGATAGATGATAGATATGATAGATGATAGATAGTTAGATAAGATAGATTAGATTAGATAGATATGATAGATGATTGATAGATATGATAGATATGATGATAGATTAGATAGATAGATAGATATGATAATGATAGATATGATAGATGATAGATAGATAAATAGATTAGATTAGATAGATAGATGATTGATATGATAGATGATTGATAGATGATAGATAGATAGATATAGCTAGATAGCTATAGATAGATATGATAGATAGATATAATAGATAGATAGATAAAATAGGTTAGATTAGATAGATATGATAGATGGATAAGATAGATAGATAATTAGATAGGTAGGTAGGTAGGTAGGTAGATAGAAATAGCACTTAGACTTATATACCACTTCACAGTGCTTTACAGCCCTCTCTAAACAGTTTACAGAATCAGCCTATTGCCCCTAACAACCTGGGTCCTCATTTTCCCAACCTCGGAAGGATGCAAGGCTGAGTCAACCTTGAGCTGGTGAGAAATGAACTGGCAGTCAGAAGAATTAGCCTGCAATACTGCATTCTAACACTATGCCACCACAACTCTTTCTTTTCTTGACATATATTACACTTCTGTCCATTCCATTGGCCCCTGCCTGCAGGAAATGGAATAGCAGAACCTGGGAGTGGAGTCAAAAGAGGAATCAGCCTAGAGCAGGGGTCCCCAACACCACAGCCTGCTAGTGGGCTGCAGCCCATTCGGAACCATGCCGCAGAAGCAGGGGGCAAGCCCACTCATGCAGCTCCTCTTCTACAAGCAGTGGGCACTCGCACTTATGCACAAAGCTCCATTTAAACATCTACCTGTGTTTGAAAAAGTAAGGTTCTACATTTAGGGAAGAAAAACCAAATGCACAGGTACAGGATAGGTGGTATCTGGCTCAATAGTAGTAAATTTGAGAGGGAACTTGGAGTCCTAATGGACAATCACTTAAATATGAGCCAGCCGTGTGTGGAGCAGCTGCCAAAAAAGCCAACACAGTTCTAGGCTGCATAAACAGAGAGATAGAATCAAGATCACGTGAAGGGTTAATACCACTTTATAATGCCTTGATAAGGCCACACTTGGAATACGGCATCCAGTTTTGGTCGCCACGATGTAAAAAAGATGTTGAGACTCTAGAAAGAGTGCAGAGAAGAGCAACCAAGATGATTAGGGGATTGGAAACTAAAACATATGCAGAATGGTTGCAGGAACTGGGTATGCCTAGTTTAATGGAAAGAAGGACTAGGGGAAACATGATAGCAGTGTTCCAATATCTCAGGGGCTGCCACAAAGAAGAGGGACTCAAGCTATTCTCCAAAGCATCTGAGGGTAGAACAAGAAGCAATGGGTGGAAACTGATCAAAGAGAGGAGCAACTTAGAACTAAGGAGAAATTTCCTGACAGTTAGAACAATTAATCAGTGGAACAACTTGTCTGAAGAAGTTGTGAATGCTCCAACACTGGAAATTTTTAAGAAGATGTTGGATAACCATTTGTCTGAAGTGGTGTAGAGTTTCCTGCCTAAGCAGGGGGTTGGACTAGAAGACCTCCAAGGTCCCTTCCAACTCTGTTATTCTATTTCTAATCGAAAAGCATGAAAAATCAGAGATTGTGGTTTACTGCAAGTCAGAAGAAAAATACGGCTTAAATAATTACATCAAGGCAAACAAAGAGGTAATGATCACTGATGTTTGCAAAGAAAAAAAAAAGCTAAAACAGGAGCATGAAAATGGACAGATTGAAAAACTTGTAAAGAATTGGAGAAGTAAAGCATAGTGTGGTCGGTATATTGAAAACAAAGTGGGCAAGACCAGGAATTGAAAATAGCTATAAGGAAGGAAACAGATGGGTTAATTTTTGCAGCGTAAGAAAAAGCAATGCAAAGCAATGTGATGAAATCAAGGATTCATTAGCACCAAAGGCCGATTTTTATTTTTATTTTTTTTTGCTTTTGTTTTGGTAAAAGAGGATGAAACCAGGATTATGTCATTAGGAGATGTAACATTAATTCAGGCTGATTATAAACAATGACGTGACAGGATAGCCACTATGATCTAGTGGCATTCGTGCTCAAACTATCATTTCCTGAATATGGTACGTTTCTAAAATAAATCTGTGGAAAACGATGTTAACATTTCCTGGGATTCCTGTATACAAACAGATCGTTGCGTAGAACGCAACAACTCACCAAGTATAAAAATATCCGAAAAGAGCAACTTTGTAGTTGTGGCAGTATCTGGGGACAACAAACAAAAGAACTGGAAAAAGTTACAAAATATATTTATCTATTAAAATAAATTGAGAATGGGAAAGATCCTGCAAAATCATCCTTAAAGCTATTGGTACGCTCGGCAGACAACCAACAGTTGAGACCCATTTTAAACAAACTAAATATTTGCTTATTGCCAACTGCAGATTGGCCAAAATAACCCCCTCCAAACCCCCTCATTGTGTTGGCATATATCTTATGGGGGGGTGCGATGGCTCAGCGGTTAAAGATGCCGAGCTGGTCAGCTGAGGTTTGAGATCGGAGCATCGTGCGATGGGATGAGCTCCCGTTCCTTGCTCCAGCTCCTGCCCACCTTGCAGTTTGAAAGCATGCAAATGCGAGTAGATAAAATAATTTGTCCTAGTTAAGCAGCCTGAATGAGCTCTAGAAAAATGATATCTTCCCCAGGATTTAGCACAGTACTACTGTCGGTTTAGGAAACCTGAATTGTTCCTTATTTGCATTGTCAGGCAAAAGGTCTCGTTTCATAGGGCCCACTCCCATCCTGCGTTCAGTTTACCTGTTCCTGTATTCCTTCCCTTAAATCAAATAATAATAATAATAACTTTATTGTCATTGTACGTGTATACACAGTATACCCATACAACAAAATTCACTTAACACCAAAGACCAGGTCCAATCCCCAAACACACTCCCCATCACCACAATTCCCCACCCCTAAACCACCCAAACATCCACACAACAGACCAAGTAATGCTTTCCAACAGCTCACTGATGGTGGCCCTTTAGTTCATTGTTGAGTGCAATTATTGCCAGCTGCCTGCAATTACTGCGAGTTCAAATCTCACCAGGCTCAAGGTTGACTCAGCCTTCCATCTTTCCGAGGTAGGTAAAATGAGGACCCGGATTGTGGGGGCAATAAGCTGACTTTGTATAAAAAAGAACACCGCTTAGGGGAGGCCAAAAGCCCTACTAAGCAGATATATACAAAAGTATGAAGGCTATTGCTTAACGCATTGTAAGCCGCCCTGAGTCTCCGGAGAAGGGCGGCATATAAATTGAACCAATAAATAAATAAATAAATAAATTATAGCTCTGGGATAAAAACTATTCAGAAAATCAAATCAAATAAAATCAAATTCTCCTAAACGTTACTTTTTAATCCAGTTCTCAGTTGACATTTATTTATTGGACACATAAGGTTGCAATACACTTAGGGTTAGGGTTAGAGGTTAGGGGTTAGGGTTAGCATTTAATACCTGCTAAGATTGCATAAAGCAGCTAATAGCAAACTGTTAAAGCATGGTCTTTCTAAAACTGATAGAACATTAAACTATAAATAAGAGATAAGAAAGACTAGAAAGAATTTATCCTGGGTTTTCCATCCAAGCAATCTCCAAATGTTGGCCTATTGATCATCTGATTCACAAAAACTGCACTTAAAAATATCTCGGACAGATTCTTGAGGTCTTCAGACAACCTCAGTGTTAAACCTGATCTGGAGGACACCTAGTTTAGGAACTGCGAATGGGGAGTTGCTCAGTATTGTAATCTGTCTTCCTCCATTTTCAGGATTCCAACATACAGTAGTGGCCAAAATTGTGGAAACCTTTTGCGAAAAGTGTATTTTCTAAAACTAGCTAATAACACTACTTTTGGGGGGGGGGAATAGTACCATAAAATTATACATCAGTGGAAAGATAATTTAATCAAGAATGTAATGCAATAACTTTTATGAAGGATTTACTATTAGAATAGCAGTTCCAGTATAAAGAAGAAAAGGGAAACACGTAGAAAAAACGAGATACACAAGAATTATCACCATAGAAAAAATGAGATATACAAAAATGATCACCATCTCAGTTAATACTTCGTTGGGTAACCTTTAGCATGAATTACAGCCTTACAACGTCTTCCCATGGAGTGAATCAAGTCTTTGAGTTCTGCAGCTGTTATAATGTGAAACCAAGATTGAAGGATTGCTTCTATTAACTGGGTTTTATTGCTGGGCCACTTCTGACTCACAAGTTTCTTTAGTCAGCTCCATAGATTTTCAATTGGGTAAAGGTCTGGGCTATTCTCAGGCCGTTCCAGCAGTGGAATAGGATTATCTTGAAACTCCCCACAAAAAAGTGGTGTTTTTAGCCATCAAACCTCAAAAATACACTTTTCCCAAAAGGTCTCCACAATTTTGGCCACTGCTGTACTTCATTTCACATATCTACAATACAGGAAGTCCTTACGACCACAATGGCACCGAAATTTTCAGTTGTTAAGCGAGGCAATTGTTAAGTGAGGTTTGCCCCATTCTACGATTTTTCTTGACATAGTTGTTAAGTGAATCACTGCAGTTGTTAAGTTAGTAACATGGTGGTTAAGTCAATCTGGCTTCCCCGTTGACTTTGCTTGTCAGGACGGTCGCAAATCATGACCCCAGGACACTGCAACTGTCATAAATGTGAGTCAGTAGCCGAGCATTTTGATCACGTGACCATGGGGATGCTGTAACGGTTGCGGGGGAAATGGTCATGAATCACTTTTTCCAGGGCTATCGTAACTTTGAACTAAACAAACTGTTGTAAGTCAAGGACTACTTGTAAATTTTTTCACAGCACCATCTTTCATGGGGAGATCCCTATGCCATCACATGGATTAACCAAAGGAATAAGAAATAAGCCTGGATAGCTCAACAGACAGAAGCACTGTAATTTAACACCAGCTGTCTGCAATTAAAGTAAGATCGAATCTCGCCAGGCTCAAGGTTGACTCAGCCTTCCATCCTTTCTAAGGTAGGTAAATTGAGGACCCAGACTGTGGGGGCAATAAGCTGACTTTGTATAAATATACAAAAGTATGAAGGCTATTGCTTAACGCACTGTAAGCCGCCCTGAGTCTCCGGAGAAGGGCGGCATATAAATCAAATTAAAAAAAAAAACAGTACTAACCCATTCGTGTTTACTTGAAGAAAGAACTTAGAGGAAGTCCCACAGAATTTAACAGGAATTAAACATCACCGGAATGTGCTGTTTAGTTATTGAATGTGACTGGATTTCATTCTGAGCTGAGCCTGTAACTATGCATGTACCCAGGTGGTGTGAATGGCAAATAAGAATCTGTTAAAGCAGGTCTTCCTTTGGTACCCCAAAATCTTCTCATCCTTTTAGCGAATGTCTATGGAGATTCTCAGTCAGAATCTGAGAATCAACCAGGATGATTAGGGGAGACTAAAACATATGAAGAACGGTTGCAGGAACTGGGCATGGCTAGCCTAGTGAAGAGAAGGACCAGGGGAGACAGGATAGCAGTCTTCCAATATTTGAGGGTCTGCCACAGAGAGGAAGGGGGTCAACCTATTTTCCAAAGCACCTGAAGGCCAGACAAGGAATAATGGATGGAACCTGAACAAGGAGAGATTCAACCTGGAAATAAGGAGGAACTTTCTGACAATCAACCCATGGAACAGAAGTTGCCTTCGGAAGTTGTGGGAGCTTCATCCCTGGAGAGTTTCAAGAACAGACTGGATTGCCATTTGTCAGAGATGGTGCAGGGTCTCCTGCTTAGGTGGGGGGTTGGACTAGATGACCTACTTTTAAGGTCCTTTCCAAACTCTGTTAATCTGTTAAAGTCATCCAGGTCATGGTTGTCCCATCGGTGCTTTTCCAAAAGGCAACTGGACTTCCTTTCGCTTCTCATCCATGAACTGAATAAGCTTCTTGGATGAGAAGCGAAACTTTTTCAAGGGGAAAAAAAAACAACCCAAGAAAGTCCAGTTGCCTTTTGAGAAAGCACCTTTGGGTCACTTTTGTGCAAATTGAAGCAGGAAGCATTGACGGTCCCAGACTTAGTGGCGATAAGTAGTGTTGCTGTTCTTCGTATCTATCTTAACTTTGGAAGAAGCAGTCTTTGGCGCCGTTGCCAGAATCAAGATCAGGGTAGCGTCAGGTACATTCCTAGAGCGAAGACGAGGCTTTCGAATAGCCCCAGGCGAATCAGTCTGCAGGAATTGTTCCTGGATGAAGCTGGAGGCCTCAGCTCTAGGCGACAGCTTTGATCCACCTGTCCAGGTGGGATTTCAACTTCACTTGCCTTCTCGCGCGAGCTCTCCTTTACCTAGGGAAGTTCAGAGTTAGGGCCAAATCCCTTTGCACGAAATACAAACATCTGAAATCATATTTATTACAAAGAGCCTCGGTGGCGCAGTGGTCAGAGTGCAGTCCTGCAGGCTACTTCTGCTGATCACCGGGTGCCAGCAGTTTGGTAGATCGAATCTCACCAGGCTCAAGGTTGACTCAGCCTTCCATCCTTCCGAGGTGGGTGAAGTGAGGACCCAGATTGTTGGGGGCAATTGGCTGACTCTGTAACCCGCTTAGTGAGGGCTGTAAAGCACTGTGAAGCAGTATATAAGTGCTATTGCTATTGCTATCTATCTCTCTATGTCTGTTTGCCTGCCTGCCTGCCTGCCTGCCTGCCTGCCTGCCTGCCTGCCTATCTATCTATCTATCTATCTATCTATCTATCTATCTATCTATCTATCCATCCATCCATTCATCCATTCATCCATCCTATCTATATTTAAGAGATGGGGTAGTGCAGTGGTTAAGAATGCAGTGCTTCAGGCTATTTCTGCTGACTGCCAACTGCCACCAGTTCGATTCTCATCAGGCTCAAGGTTGACTCGGCCTTCCATCCTTCCGAGGTGGGTAAAATGAGGACCCAGATTGTTGGGGGCAAGAGGAAGACTGTAAACCGCTTAGAGAGGGCTGTAAAGCCCTGTGAAGCGGTATATAAGTCTAAGTGCTATTGCTATTGCTATTTGTGTACCACCCATCTCGCTGTTTGGGGTCACTCTAGGCTCACGCCAAGCTCGTTGCCATCCTTGAACCAAGAGAAGTAGTATTTTATGATGTCGATCGACAATTTAGGATTGTCACTGTGGGCTCCAAGATCTATAGAAGTGTCTGCCATCAGGAATTAATATTGCTAAAGAGCAAAGCTAAGAATCAAATGTCATAGAATGAGAAGCTCTTACATTTTCTACTTCTTTGAAAACACGAAGTAAGTTCTCCCTCAGAACCCCATGAAGTTCTTCCTTGGTCCAGCCTCTCCTCAGCAGTTCTTCAATTAAGTTTGGATATTTTGAAACATCTTCCAGTCCCGTAGGAAATCTGTCAGTCAAGACACGAGTGGCACAAACTAAATGTCTGTTTCTTAGCAAAACCACAGCCAGATTAGGAAGTAAGAAAATTAATTGTCAGCTTTTGCTTCTAGTAAAATGCCTGCTCATGAGAGACTCGTAAGCATTCTAAGAATATATTTTTTAAAAAAGAAGCTGGGCAATTCCAATAATTTTATCCAGTTGTACCTTGTGATTTTTTTTTATAGAATCACATAGAATTTTTAATATAATTTTTTGTTATAGAATGGTTTATCTAAATGATTTTTGATAAGGTTAGGATAAATCCGAAGGGTTTTGGTTTGAGTTCAAAACACTTCCCAAATGATTGAATATGAATTACATGTCAATGTATAATAATTTGAAAGGGAAATGTTTTTGCGCACCACCAAACAATACTGTAATTCACTTACTAACCGAGATTCTCCATCATAGTCACCGCCAATTCCTATTGAAAATGAACCTGCAATTTTCTTTATGTGGTCGAAGTGATCTGGATTTTTTTTTTTCAACAAAAAATGGAGAAGATGAGACAGCATCAGAACACAGCATGGATAAAGGAGAAATGCTTCTGGAAGAGGAACAGGCAGAGTTGGAGGGCGGAGTAAAACATGTCATCAGTTTAGACTCCTTATGTTGCCACAGAAACCCCAGTCCAATCCCATGAATTCATTGGCCTTAATCTAGTGCCAATTTAGTGCTGACCATTAGTGTACTCGATTCTTGTGTATAGGTAAAAGGTAAAGGTTCCCCTCGCACATACGTGCTAATCATTCCCGACTCTAGGGGGCGGTGCTCATCTCCATTTCAAAGCCGAAGAGCCAGCGCTGTCCGAAGACGTCTCCGTGGTCATGTGGCCGGCATGACTCAACGCCAAAGGCACACGGAACGCTGTTATCTTCCCACCAAAGGTGGTCCCTATTTTTCTACTTGCATTTTTGACGTGCTTTCGAACTGCTAGGTTGGCAGAAACTGGGACAAGTAAAGGGCGCTCACCCCGTTACGCGGCACTAGGGATTCGAACCGCTGAACTGCCAACCTTTCGATCAACAAGCTCAGCACCTTAGCCACTGAGCCACCATGTCCCTTTTAGATTCTTGTGTATAGGCTTCAATAAATCATTTCTGTTGCAACCTACACAAATGGTCCTGAGTTTTTGCATCTGACAATGCTTTATCCAAGTTTCCCCATTGATTTTACTTGTCAGAAACCAGCTGGGAAGGTTGCAAATGGGGATCACATGACTTGGGGATGCTGACATCATCATAAATATCAATATCAATTGCTAAGTGCCCAAATTTTGGTCACATAACTTTGGAGATGCTGCAATGGTCTTAGGTACATGGGCTGGTTGTAAGTCACTTTTTTCAGTAACCCTTGTAATTTGGAACAGTTGCTAAATGAATGGTTGTAAGTCAAGGACTACCTGTATATAGGAACAGCACAATGTTTGCAAACCTGCAACAGTTGAAATGTTAACTGTCTTATTTCCACAAGCCAAAAACTTCACAGGGAACGTCACCATTATAATTCCATGGTTCTCTTTCTATAAAACAAGGGAAAGATTAAATAAGTCAAATATCCAGTTCCGAGGGCTGTGCAATGCTTTAGATTGGATTCCCCAAAATTGTTTTGGTGTACATAGGGTACAAAGATAGCAACTGTCTGGAAACTCTTTTAAAATAGCTGGGTCACTTTTCAGGAAACTTGCTAGGGGAAAATAAAAGTAGGTCCATGTCAAGGGAAGATATCTGGAATGGGATCACTGCAAAACATCAAACCAGCATTAGGCTACATAGAGCCCACAACCATTCTTGTACCATGGAAGCCTCTCTTGATGCCTATCAAAGGCCTGCCCCCAACTCATCAGAGAAGTAGTATGTTGCAAAGCAAACCACTTCTCTCTACCACAAGGGTGTCCAAAGTTGGCAACTTTAAGACTTGTGAATGATGGGGACTTCAATTATGGGGATTTTATGAAATGAAGCAAGTTTGGAGACCCCTGCCATCATGACGGCATCGTGGTGTCATCATGATGTCTTCCATCAGCCATCGTTCTAGGAATGCCTTTTGATCTTACATCAACCTTGGGCATTATCTGAAATTAGAAAGACCAAGTGGTTGTAACCCAATGTTTTGTTTGACAACGTGCAATTTAGGTGACCGGGAATAATGGAAATCCAGGACTTTAAAGGGTCTCTGGCTGAGGGAGACCTTCCTTTCGTGCATGATGATCTGGAAAACAAGACTCACAAGCTTTAGGAGAATGTCATCTTGAACATTCCTGTGGTGGTGGCAGACAGAGTAGGCAGAAGAATGGCTGAAAATGACAGGGGCTCTGGAGACCCTAAGAACGTCTTTTGCTGTCTCATAAGAGGTGTGAGATAGGTCTACCATCATCCCGAGGCGATTCATCTCCTTCACCACTTCCTGGAGAAAATACAGTAGATATTGTGGTACAGTGACACAGAAACACTCTCTCGTCTAAAGCTGGGATCTTGACCATCCTCCCCAAAATCACAATACAACATTCATTTCTCGAGTGCTGTTCAAAGTTTTCTTCCAACCAACACATCTCCAATTCAAGTCTTCCATTTTCTTGTTGGGAAGAAAGTCTAAAGCTATTCAGCATGTCCAATCAAGATGGTCAAGATTGGCATGTCCTGCCCACCCATGTGCAGATCTTCTACAAGAAGAAATGCCGAAGGAATCAAGTATTTCTGGAGGCTAGAAGGGTGGGGAAGACCGAGTTAGGATGAAGGTTGCTAAGGGATGTGGAAGAAATTGGAAGAAGAACAATCGGTAAAAAGAATGGAAGAAGAAAGATGCCAGAGAAAAGGAAGAATTTATCTTGAACTCAACTCAATAGAAGATTGGGCTTAATGTTTCTTCAAGTAACAATGAAATAAATTATAAGCCTGAGGAAAGGGACTGCTTCATATTAATGAGATATTTTGGATCTCTTTTGGTTAGCGAGAAGAATAAAAACGTTTCCTAGATATAAACAGAATGGAATGGGCATTCTTATTAATTCCAGGTAACTATGCAACCAATGCCTCAAGAATGTATTTATTTCTCAATTAAAATTATCTATAACTTGCCTTTCAGGATGTACAATCCCTCCAAGGAGACTTTCAGTTAATACGAAGAATTCTTCAAAGCAGGAGTGTCCAACCTTGGCAACTTTAAAGACCTGTGGACTTCAACTCCCAGAATTTCCCAGCCAACCAATGGACCATCAAACAAATGAACTGAGAATTCTCACTTGAGACATAAATGACCAGGCTCACACTATGTGAAGAAGACAAGGCCTACTTCAGACATATTATGCCAAGACCTAGCTCTCTGGAGAAGGCTTTGATGCTGGCATAGATGGAAGGAAAGAGGAGAAGAGGACAATTGGCAGTAATGTGGTGATAGATGCACTGTTGGAAGCCTTGAAGACCAGATTAAGGGGAGATCTTCATGGAGAAGATCTATTTATGTACTCTCTAAGTGTCAACAACTTGATGGCATATACCACCAGGATCTTCATCATAATTAAATACTGATTATGGTGGATTCTCATCAAGACACCCTTGTAGATTAATTCCCAGATCTCCCTTATGTAAGAGAACATCAGAGGGACAATATCAACTCAAGCAGGGGTGCTATTCAGCAGGTTCTGACAGGTTCTGGAGAACCGGTAGCAGAAATTTTGAGTAGTTTGGAGAACCGGCAAATACCATCTCTGGCTGGCCCCAGAGTGGGGTGGGAATGCAGATTTTGCTATATCCTTCCCCCAGGAGTGGGGTGGGAATGGAGATTTTGCAGTATCCTTCCCCTGCCATGCCCACCAAGCCACGCCCACCAAGCCACGCCCACAGAACCGGTAGTAAAAAAAATTGAATTCCACCACTGAATTCAAGTCACTTGCTAAGTTACACTTAAAACTTTCTCTTACGATGCCAAAAGGAGTCAAGCCTTTAACAGCAGGATAGAAATTATTTTTGCCTTTCGTTGAAGTTTCTGCCCTAAAAATAAACAAAAAATTCAAATGAAAGGTGAAAGGTTGAAAGGCATTCAAATCAAAGGTTGTAAAAGTGTCATGAAAATATTTCAATGTTTAAATAGGAATTTTAACATATCTATGGAGATTCTCATCCAAGTCCTGGTTGTCCCAAAAGTGCTTTCTCAAGAGGCAACAGGAGTTTCTGGTTTTTCTTTGAAGACATTTCGCTTCTCATCCAAGAAGCTTCTTCACCTCTGAATTTTAACAGTCCTCAGAAATTTTAACAATATTCAGGAACATTTAACAGTATACAGGAATTCTAACAGTATTCTTAAATATACAGTACAAGTAAAACAGTCATAATATATTTATTAATCATATTTTTATGTAATCCTTCCTTCAATAAACTCCAGACTTCATCCATTTAAATTATCTAAAATATGATTGCACCTGATTTTATGGCTTTCCCCCCCCCCCCACAAACCACTGGAGTTGTTAAGTGAATCACCGAATCATTAAAAGAATCCAACTTCCCCCGTTATTGATGTGTTTTATTTTTCACATTTTTTTCCCTCACATTTTTTACTTGTCGAAAGCCAACTGGGAAGGCCACAGATCATGATCAAGGGACCCTGAGGATGCTGCCATCATTGTTAATACATGCTGGTTGCCAAATGCCCAAATTTAGATCGTGTGTGATTGTGAGGATGTTATGACGTTCGTTAAGTGTGAGAACTGGCCACGCATGACATTTTTAATGCTGTTGTAACGTCAAATGATCACGAAACAAATGGTTTTAAGTCAGGGACTGCCTGCAATTCGTTTTCTTAAACCATATTATTTAAAGCAGGGGTGTCAAACTCACGGCCCGTGGGCTAGATCCAGCTTGTGGGGTGCTTAGATCTGGCCCATCTCTGCCAGTGAAAATGGAGCTCAGGAGGGCCACACGTGGCCCTTGCAGGCTCTGTTTTTGGCTGTGATGACCTCCTGCCACCTTCTGCCAGTGAAAATGGAGCTCGGGGGGCCCCCTGAGCTCTGTTTTTACTGGGAGAAGGTGGCAGGAGGCTGTCGCGGCTGAAAACAGAGCTCAGGAGCCCATTTTTGCTGGCAAAGCACTCAGGCCACCACAGGTGCCCCCCAACACAAGTGACATCAAACTGGCCACGCCCATCCTGGCCCCCGAGGTCAAACACAACCCAGATGCAGTGGTGGGATTCAACCGGTTCGCAACACTTCGGCAGAACCGGTTGTTAAATTGCTGGCTGGCCCCACCCTTCCCCTTCCTGCCCCTTCCAGAAGTCACCCCGTTTTTGCTCCCAGGAGGCTGCAGTGAGGCCTATTAGGCCCAAAACAGGGCGTGGGCGGCCAGCGCCCCCCACGCGTCTCAATTTTGCTCCCAGGGGGGGTGCAAGAGGCCGAGTGCTGCCTCTCATACCCCGTGGCCACACCCCACAATGGCCACACCCACCCAGCCGATCATTAGGGCAGAGAACCGGATGTTAAATTATTTGAATCCCACCACTGCCCTGATGCAGCCCTCAATGAAATCGAGTTTGACACCTCTGATTTAAAGCAACAGTGGCGACTATCATAACAATCCATCTCTGAAAAAAAAACATTCTTCTCTGTGGATTACCAGGGAGTGTTGCACATATGCGTCAAAGTCATGTACCGGACACCCAGGTCATAGAACATCCTCAAGGTGGCCAGACTGCTGTCCATGGAGTGACCACCTTCAATGCCGATCAAGCATCCTATCTTATCGTGGCTAAGATTCTCAATGCCTGGAGTCGAAACAGAAAGAGAGCATTCTACTTTAAAAGACAGATCATCAGAGGAAGCCTATTGTTTAGAGCAGGTGTGGCCAACTTTGACAACATTTAAGACTCGTGGACTTCAATTCCCAGAATTCCTTAGCCAGCCAACCGGGGAATTCTGGGAGCTGAAGTCCACAACTCTTAAAGCTGCCGACGTTGGACACTCCTGGTTTAGAGGCTGTTTTACAGGCAGTCTTTGACGTACGACCACCATTGAGCCCAAAATTTCTGTCGCTAAGGTGTTAAGCTTGGCAAAGATCTGCAACCCAAGGTTGGAGATACATCTAAGGCAGGGATCCTCAAACTTGGCAGCTTTAAGACTTTAAATTGATTGGGTTTTAAATTTGTCTGGGCCAAACTATTTAATTTGATTTTATCTCTGCTTTTTAAATTTTGTATGTATGTATTTTATTGTTGGCTGTTCACCGCCCTGAGTCCTTCGGGAGTAGGGCGGTATATAAATCAAATAAAAGTAAAAATAAAAGTAAGACTTGTGGACTTCAACTCCCAGAATTCTCCATTCTCCAGCTATGCTGGCTGGAGAATTCTGGGAGTTGAAGTCCACAAGTCTTAAAAGCTGCCAAGTTTGAGGATCCCTGCCTTAGATGTATCTCCAGCCTTGGGTTGCAGATCTTTGCCAAGCTTAACACCTTTAAAATTAAGGAGATAAAGTTAATCTCCTCCAAATGAAAAATTGTATGCTATAATTTTCCGCTGCAGATGTTCCATCCTCCCACCTACTGAGAGGTTTTTAAGCAAGTACTGCCTGTCCTTGTTCTAAAGTTTTCTTCTGATGTTCCTCAGAGCCTACTGATACTTTCCCACCCCCCTGTAAATAGCTCCGTTTTAACGATTAACTAAAGGGATTGTAGAAGAATGAGTTTGCTAAATATTCTTGAGTTTACAGACAATTGCATTCTTATGCTGTCAGGTCAACTACGTTGTTTTTCATGAAAACGGGAAAAGAATGCACGTTTCTTATCTCTCGTGTTCCTGCCTAACGTTTCTTTCATTGAGCAAAGGAAACAAAATTTACCCTCCGGAGATGTCAGCAGTTCCAGTTCTTTGTAGTCTTCACACATCCGTTTGACCACATCAATTTGTTCTAGTGTCAAACGCACAGCGTCTTTGTCCTGTGCACTGCAGAGAACGTAGACTGACCAAAACTGGGAAGATTTAGAACATAGGAGGAGGAATGAGTATAAACTACGTTTGCCCACCTTGAGTTATTTATAAAAGTAATAAAGGCAGGATTTTAAAAAATCGAATAAACCAGTAAAATAAAGATAGCAACTGCTGTTATCAATTCAACGCTTCGCTTCTTTGCACCAAGTTTTTTTTCACCAATGCTGATGTAGAAAGTTAGCACCCACCCCTCTGCTAGAAGAATGAAGAATGAAATATTTGGAGAAATATTAAAAAGGCAGAATATTATATTTCCCTGGGTGGTAAAAGAAGAAACAGGTTTTAAAGACAGAAAGCAGCTCCCTGGCCCCAGCAGATATTTGGTGCCCATTAAGAAAGACTGGGCCAGCCTATCTACAAGACAAAAGACCTCCAGCTCCAGGGTGATGGGATTAAGACATGACCCTCCAGGACATAATAGGATTAACCCATCTAGCCGCGTAGCTCACCACATGGCACAAATCACCTGGGGACATTGCATCATCCAGCAAATGTCAACCAAACTAGCATGATCCCTACACGGCCCTATGGGAGTTTGACAACAGCCAATAGAATATATGTCCTTGCGCAGGAACAGGAAATTCAAGTTCAAAGCCCAAGAGAAGGTATAAAAATCCCTCACTCTCAACTCCATGTGGTCTGCTACCCAGAATCACATATGCTTGGTGGTTCTGCTTCACCATTAAACCCTCTTTCCAATCAGCCTCCATGTTTCCAGTATCTTTCTCCTGGCTTGGAACTGAAGCAGATGGATATTTCTACCAACACTCCATTCTGGCATGTATCTACTTCTTAGCCTCCAGCTTAGCTTGAAACTCAGGTAGCACTTACCTGCACCCCAACATGGCCAGCCTGAAGCTTCTCAATGTTGGTGTTGGTATTGCTGAGTTTCTTCAAGTCAATTGTGCTTAGCTTGTTTTGGTGAAACCATCTTAATTTCAAGGGCAGATCGTTGTGTCTGAAAGACAAGACAAGGGATTGTCATCTTCCCTAAAGGCTGATCTTGGATTGATGAGCTATTTCTTTATTTTTATTTTTTTGGCACATGAAAATTTAATCTACTACAAGAAATGGTTCCTTGAAAGGGCTGCAAGCTGGACATTTTCCTCTTCCTAAACATTGAAGGGACGCGTAAAGGACGCGATGGCTAAGACGCTGAGCTTGTCGATCGAAAGGTCAGCAGTTCAGCAGTTTGAATCCCTAGCACCGCATAACGGGGTGAGCTCCCGTTACTTGTCCCAGCTTCTGCCAACCTAGCAGTTCGAAAGCAGGTAAAAAATGCAAGTAGAAAAATAGGGACCACTTTTGGTGGGAAGGTAACAGTGTTCCGTGCACAAAGACGCAAAGAGAGAAAACAAATAGAAAGTTATCAGAATATGCCAATCATAAGGCACTGTGCTCATCTCTGTTTCAAGGCCATTGAGCCAACGGCTGTTTGAAGACATTTCCGTGGCCTTGTGGCTAGCATGACATCATGGAGCATGGTTACCTTCCCACTGGAGTGATACCTATTAATCTACTCGCATTTGCATGCTTTCGAACTGCCAGGCGAGCAGGAGCTGGGGCAAGGAACAGGAGCTCACCCCATCGTGTGTGGCACTTGGGTCTCGAACCTGGACTGCCAGCTTTCCAGTTGATGAGCCCAGCGCCTTAACCACTGAGCCACAGTGCCACCTTATCAGAATATGATTCTGGTCAAATCGTGGCTTTGCTATTCTATGTCTGCAAGAAAGGAAATCCACATACCCATCGATTAGCCGAGATGCCTCCATGAGTTCAAGAACTTCAGTTCTCAAGGATTCATCAGTAGCTCCGGATCCCAAAATGTCCACAAACAAAAAGAGTAGCCACAGAAGCATCACCATCACTGGATCCAAAGGAAGTCCACAAGCTAAATGAGATGCTTGCAATATATATATATATATATATATATTTTTCCCCCCCTTGGATAAAAAATGAACACCGTTTCCTTCCAAGTTCGAGGAGACTTTTCAGGCAAAGGGGTTTTTTAAACCCAGCGAAAAGAAGCAGTCGATCTCTGAAAATCTTTACTCAATCAGCCGGCTGCTGACAAGGGAAGAAAAAAGAGAAGACTTAATGGGAACACTCTGGTGATGCTTTTTTTAAAAAATAAACAATATACGTTTCTCTCAGGCTTTTGAACACAGAGAGCTCATATCCCATATAACATTGCATAAAAACCTCTGGGAATCTCTCCCACAAAGAAAATGCACACTCACATCTTCCCGAAACTTTGCCAGAATAGATTTTTCTTACTAAAGGCCAGATTTTACTCTGGGCAGCACTAATATTTACAACATACAAACCAAATTAACACCAGACCCACATCAAAATGTCAAGGAAAGACACTTTAATTTTCATACAATCAAAGCCAGGATTGGTCGAGCATGGGAGATTTTATATATATATATATATATATTTTTTTCCAAACCCACCCACCCACGCACCCACACATGTGCGTATAAAGATCAGGGCTAAAAAAAGCATTTGCTGACCAAAAAAATGTTCTTTCATCTTAAAAAAGAAAAAGAAAGCCAAACTTTCCTCCGTCTACAGTATCAAAGACAAGTTTTCTTTCATCATATGAAGCTCTCCGTTTCAGAAATTCCCAACCACGCTATTTATTGCTGAGCATTTTGGGCATCCAAATCCACCCACAGGTTGTCCTTGACTTACAACAGCTCGTTTAGTGACTTCTCAAAGTTACGACATCACTGGAAAAAAAATGCGACCATTTTTTTCACACTTAACAACCGTCGCAGCCTCTCCCCTCGGTCACGTGATCAAAATTTCGGAGGCTTTGCAACTGGTTCATATTTATGACGGTTGCAGTGTTCCCGGAGTCATGTGATTTGCTTTTGCGACTTTCTGATGAGCAAAGTCAACGGGGAAGCTAGACTCACTTAACAACCATATTACTAACTTAACAATTTCAGTGATTCACTTAACTGTGGCAAGAAAGGTCTTAAATGGAGCAAAACTCAGTTAACAACTGTTTTGCTTAGCAACATAAATTTGGGGCTCAGTTGTGGGTCATAAGTCGAGGACTACCTGTAACTGAAAGTTCACAAGGCCCTTGTGATAATTTGATTTTTGGAGGCAAACCAGACTTTTCCTAGCTGGAGTGAATTCCACTGGGGAGCCAAAAATGGGAGGATTTCTTCAATGGATTCAGAGGATATTTATTTGTAGAAAGCTAGATTAAGGGGAAAAAATGCAAAAGTAAGAAACTGAAACCAGCTTACAGCCCTTAAGGGCTAACAACATCCTGCAGTGCTAGTTAAATGTAACGGTGTAAATATCCGTTGAAATACTGGCTCACGAAAAGCTGCACTGTGATAAATGTGTTTGTCTAATAAGAGTCACAACACCCTTTGCACAACTCTCTGTTGTGCTTTTTTACAAAGGCTGCAAATGCCACATTACTTAGTCATCTATTTGGCAGAGGTGGTTTATTTTGGGGAAAGGTACCTGTTTTCTATTAATCAAAGGATGCAGCAATATGCGTTACTATTGCAGAGGTGTTTGTGATTATTTTACAATAACATGTGGAACTGATTGTAGTAGAGGAGCCAAAAATGGGAGGATTTCTTTAATGGATTCAGAGGATATGTATTTGTAGAAAGCTAGATTAAGAATTTTTTTTTTTGGAAAAGTAAGAATCTGAAACCATCTTAGAACCCTTAAGGCAGTGGTGAAATCTAATTTTTTTAACTATTGGTTCTGTGAGTGTGGCTTGGTGGGTGTGGCGTGGCTTGGTGGGTGTGGCTTGGTGGGCATGGCAGGGGAAGGATGCTGCAAAATCTCCATTCCCACCCCGCTCTAGGGGAAGGATACTGCAAAATCCCCATTCCCTCCACACTCCTGGGGAAAGGATATTGCAAAATCTCCATTCCCACTCCACTCTGGGGCCAGCCAGAGGTGGCATTTGCCAGCACACCGAACTACTCAAAATTTCCGCTACCGGTTCTCTAAACTACTCAAAATTTCTGCTACCGGTTCTCCAGAACCTGTCGGAACCTGTTGAATAGCACCCCTGCCTTAAGGGCTAACGTCCTACAGTGCTAGCTAAATGTAACGGAAGAAAAGAAGCAATGCAAATGTACAAGCAACAAAAATAGTTAAGAAAAACAGATTATGCAGCACGACTAAAATCTATAAAAGGAAATGCGGGGGCGTTTGGGTGTGTTTAAATCATTTTGCTGTGCCATTAAATATGGATTTCCTCGGAAGATTGTTTCAGAGTTTAGGTGAGGTGATTGGGCAGACAAAAATGTATCTTAATCATTTCTTCTAGAGCAAGTTGTCAAACTCAAGGCCCACGGGATGCTTAGATCAGGCCCGTGGGGCCGGACTAGAAACAACAAAGCACTGACCCGCGATGCCTCTGCCAGCTAAAATGGGGGTCGCGGGAGGGGGAGTGCACGCGGCCCCTCTGCGCTCTGTTTTTGCTGGCAGAGGGCTATCAAAACAAACTAAAAACAAAACAAAAGGAGAAATGTTTCCCCTCTTGCATTTTTGAGTGTTGGAAGAAATGTCCATCTGGGTTCAGTTCCAAACGGGGAAAAAGACACTGGAAACATGGAGACCAGAGGTGGGGTTTCAGCAGGTTCTGACGAGTTCTGGAGAACCGGTAGCGGAAATTTTGAGTAGTTCGGAGAACCGGTAGTAAAAATTCTGACTGGCCCCGCCCCCATCTATTCTCTGCCTCCCGAGTCCCAGCTGATTGGGAGGAAATGGGGATTTTGCAGTAACCTTCCCCTGGAGTAGTGGGGGAATGGAGATTTTACAGTATCTTTCCCCTGGAGTGGGGTGGGAATGGAGATTTTACAGTATCCTCCCCGTCACGCCCACCAAGCCATGCCATACCCACCAAGCCACACCCACAGAACCGGTACTAAAAAAATTTGAAACCCACCACTGATGGAGACAGCTTAGAAAGATGGTTTTTAATGGGTTTTAAAAGAGGGGGGGGAGATGCTGAGAGTGCCTGGGTTTTATGCCCTCTCTGGACTTTTGAATTTGAGCTTGTATTCTGATTGGTTGTCAGACTCCCATGGGGCCATGCAGGGGCAACTCTGTAGGCTGTGTTTTTGAGTCCCAAGCTTGGTTGAGCCTTGCTGGGTGATGTAATCTTCCCAGGTGCCATGTGGTAATCCTATCATGTCCTGAGGGCCATGTCTTAATCCCATCATCCTGGACCTGAAGGTCTTTTGTGTTGTAGCTAAGATGTCTTTTGTCTTTCTGGGGCAAAGTCATGGGGGCCGCTTTCCAAGAATATTTTTCTAGAATATTTCGTTTTTCTAGGAGAGGGGTGGATGGTAACTTCCTACAGGAGCATGCAAGAAGAGGCAGGAAAGGAGAAAGGGAAGGAGGAAAGACAAAGAAAAAGAAGGGAAGATGGGAAGACGGCAAGGAAGGAAAAATAAGGAAAGAGGGGAAGGAAGGAGAAAGGAGAATAAAGATGGAAGGAAAGAAAGAAGGAAGGAAGGGAGGGAGGGAGGGAGGGAAGGAGAGAGGAAGGAAGGGAGGGAGGGAGGGAGGAATGGAGGGAGGAAGGAAGAAAGGAAGGAAAGAAGGGAGGGCGGGAGGGAGGAAGGAAGGAAGGGAGGAAAGAAGGGAGGGAGGGAGGAAGGAAGGAAGGGAGGGAGGAAAGGAGGGAGGAAGGAAGGGAGGGAGGAAAGGAGGGAGAAAAGGAGGGAGGGAGGAAGGAATGGAGGGAGAGAGGGAGGGAGGAAGGAAGGGAGGGAGGGAAGGAGGGAGGAAGGAATGAAGGGAGGGAGGGAGGGAGGGAGGGAGGGAGGAAAGAAGGAAGGGAGGGAGGGAGGAAGGAAGGGAGGGAGGAATGGAAGGAGGGAGGGAGGAGGGTGGAAGGAAGGAGATTATAATGAGAGTAAGGTGGGTTTCAGGGAAATCCTGCCTTAGCACTTGGCCACCACATTGCCTCCGTCACAAGTCCCATGTCATGCCTATCATGGCCACGCCCATGGCCCTCCGAGGTCAAACACAACCATGATGTGTCTGTTGCAATATTTTCAGGATCAGACTCAATAAAGATAATAGAAGTTAAAGCATTAAATATATTTCTTTTTATTTATGATAGGCATTCTATATTCACTGAATATTCAAGGTAGAAGCGACGAGAATGGTGAGGGTGGCTCCTTATATATACAAGGGGTGGAGCTAGGAATGGGAGTGGTAAGTTATGAATACATTAAAGTCCAAAGAATAAGTTAACCTCTGATGTTCCATATATACATTATTTACACATTGGAGAATAAGGCATTTACATCTGACAAATCCCCTCTAAATGCCGGTTCGTTACACAACACCAATTACATTCTGATTCAGGACAATATAATACATATAATTTAGAAGTTAAATATTTGTGTTGTTTAGAAGGTAAGGGTTTTGTTAATATGTCAGCTAATTGTTCAGAAGTATCGCAATGTATTGCTTTAATGAATCCGTCTTGAGACAGTTGTCTCACATGCTTAAACTTTATATCAATATGCCTGGACCTTTGTCCAATTGCATCGGATCTGGATATTTCAATGGCCGCTTTATTATCTTCATGCATAATAAATGGTAAGGTGGGTTTCTTCCAAACATCAGTGATCAGATCATTGAACCATACAAGGTTATTTGCAGCTTTGGACAAACAAACATATTCCGCTTCTGTAGTAGAAGTGGCTACTAGTTCTTGTTTACCAGTATACCAGTAAACTGGACAATCATTCAATAGAAAAACATAACCAGAAGTACTCTTTCTGCATGATGTATCACCAGCCCAATCTGCATCAGCATAACAAGTAATTTTTGGTTCTCTGTCATTATTGGGTTCCAACATTAAACAAAAATCTAATGTACCCTTCAGATATCTTAGAATTCTTTTGACAGCTTCCCAATGATACAAGGTTGGTTTACTAACATATCTTGACAATAGATTGAGAGGTAATGCAATATCTGGCCTAGTCCAATTAGATATATAAAGGAGTGAACCTATAACTGATCTGTAAAATGTGTTGTCTTTAAACTCAGGG